TCTGATCACCCGGACAGACTCTAGAGCAGAATTTGGAGAGTTAAAAACCGGCTCTGCGCAAATTTCACTTAGCTTGATCCATAGACCCATAAATGAATGGCTGACAAAGAGATAAATAAACAGCCCAATTTCACTATAGTCTTGAATCTTAATTAATGTCGTAGAGTGATGGGATGTGTTAAACTCCTACAGTAATGAACAATTGTGTATAAAAGCTGAAACCAAGGGAAGGAGATGTCTGGCAAATTAATATTAGTGAATTACCATTTCTGAAGATGGACTCTACTATGCATCCGGAGGTTTATTTTTTAGAGTGTTTGGACAAAAATGCTTGCCTGTAGCGCCCCCTTCCCCAGTTTTAAAGAACTTGATGCAGTGGTCTACAGTTGATAGATTTGAACCCCAAGAATTCTAGAAGCTGCCAAATGGAATAACAACTGGCCCACTGTAAAGAGAAATAAGTTTCTACACCTTGGACATGTTTGCCTCCATTACACATTTCCAAATCCATGCTTATTATCAGTTTAGACAGTTAAACTAACACCTTCCAGGTGGTATTTATATAGATATTTTTATGAATATATGTTTGCTTTTAAAAAAAAGAATTGGACAAGTGGGCTCTGTAGCACAATGGGTAGCACATTAGACTTCTAAAAAAAGAACTGGACATACTACTAAATTGTTTATAGTGGCAAAAAATAAAAATAAAAAATAAATTAGCCTCAATGGCCATTGGTAGGGGCATGTTTATATAAATGAGAATTTATTCAATCAGATACTATGCACTCAGCAACACTGATGATATACATGGATTGGCATGGGAACTGTTCATGAAAAATATAATGTATATTTTAAAAACCATGTAGAATGATTTACTAACTTCAGCAAAGTACATGTTTGCAAGCCCACACACCTGAAATGCACTGAAGTGCTTTCTCATCCATGCTGCTAGCCTTTCCCCAAACCAAACGATAGGATAGCCCAGTTTGCCTAATAACTGGGCAGAAACTACATTCAATTACTGCAGTCTGTTGACAGTGGTGGGCAAGGAGATCTTACCCAAAGGACAACCCAAAAACAGAGTTCCTGACAAGCTTTAGAATGCCGGTCCCTGGGACTGGCGGTTCACCTCTTAGTGAGGCCTTGCAGTACAAACCTTACACTAAGCTACAAGTGTGGCACTGTGTGAACCTTTTCAGGAAAAAGACATTTGTGATCATTTAAGATGAAATCATTTAATCTCAGAATCAATGAGCTTTGGGAATTCAATTAAATGAAACAATGATTCATGAACTTTCTAATTAGTATTTTCTAATTTGTGCTAAAATCCTAAAAGAATAATTTTGGATTATCGGCTCTTTTGAAATAAATATCCCTAGGTGCATCTTCATTTGCATATATAAAGCTTTATCATAATATAAAGAATGTGGGGGATTTTTTGCCTAAATCTTGTTGACTCCATTGCCCACAAGCAACCTATATTCTGGACTATGGCCTCAAAGGGAGTTTGTTTACTGATCAGCTAATCAGAAATTATTCAGGCATGAATCCTCAAGAAAAAAATTTATGGGCCCATTTGCCATTTTGCATAGAATAGCAACCATCAAGGAAAAGTGGATTTTAAAGTCAAAGCTAATTAAGATTTTTATAACTATTTATTGCTTTGTGCATATCATCATCTGGCTTTTTAGAATTGTTTCAGTTCTGTAAATTTTCTGTTGCATTTAACTATCCAAAGTAGACAGATGTATTTATTAATGATGCAAATTGTGCCTGGGCAGTAACAATAACATATAACTCTTATGTACCTCAATTTAAGATTATTTTGAAGATATATACCATCAATTTAGAGCAACCCTCTGACTACTTGATCCATCCTCAGCTGTTGCAGAAAGAGTTAGCAGCTCTCCCCTGGGACTCAGCCCTGAGTAGAATAGTGTCATTAGTACTATAATTCCTTTCTCTGGTGCTGTTAACCATTCCCCAGGAGAAAAAAGAAAAAAGGCATAAGGTCCATTGCTTATCAGAGCTGCCGAGGTCTTTAAATAAAGATACCTTCTTGTTTTGAGTGCAGGAGGAGCAGGGAGAATGTTGCCAGTGCTGATAAACTACATTAGAATTATGTCTGTAAAGAATATAGTGATATTCCACATTTTCAAAAGAATCATAGTGATTTAATGTTTTGAAGGCATGATTCTAATTGCAATTGTCAAAATCAGTTATTTTCACTTTGACATTTTATTTTCAAAGAAATATTACCTTTGTAGATTATTGAAAATTTAAACTAAATTAAAAATCAAAATATATTTGAACCTTGAACAATGCAGAGTTTAGGGATGTCAACCCCCATGAATTAGAAAATCCACATGTAACTTTTGGCTACCTAGAGCCTTAATTACTAATGCCTACTGTTGACTGGCAGCCTTATGCATAACATAAACAGTTGATTAACATACAGTTTTTATGTTTTATGTATTACATTCTGTGTTCTTACAGTAAAGTAAACAAGAAAAAAATCATAAGAAAAAGAAAATACATTTATAGTATTTGTGGGACAAAATCTGCATATAAATGGACCCATGCAGTTCAAACCCATGCTGTTCCGGTGTCACCTGTACATTAAATGACATTTCAATTTAACATGGAAAACCTGGAGATCGGAGGAAACCGAGAGGAATGAAATTAGAGTGATGCAGAACTTTGCAGTTCGGCTCCCGGATTCAGTGAACCAAAACAAACACTTGGCTGCTCCCCAAACTGTGTTAATTGCCTTTTTGTATGTACATTTCCATATGCTGACTAACAGTTTTGGCTTACAACGCAGTCATTGTAACAAAATTGGGAATATTTAAATATTCATTCCCTTCATGCCTGGCTTGTGGAACTAATAGTTCTGAATACAAGCTGTTATTTTATCTTTAAAATATTGTTTAAATAGTATTAGCATTAGTAAAAATAAAGGTAAAATAGATAAAGAACACCATGGCTGCTTTAAAATACTGTGGTAGCCAATCTGATTTAAACACATTGTGAATCCCCTCCTTCCTCAGCTGAGACTGGTTTTGAGCCAGAGGTCTAGAACGCCTAACTGCATCATGACATGCCCGGGGCACCCCGACTCCAGGCCAAGGGAGCAAGGCTCTCCCGAGGCTCATTGCCCTTCATCCCAACTCCACCATTTTGGTGTGAGATGCCCACTGTTCATATATATCATTGTAGATATTAGAGCCATACAAATATATAGATTCCTCAACAGACTCATAGAATTTAAAGATAAAAAAGATGGTGGGACTCATTCAGCGAGTTCTCACTCATTGCACATGTGCTGTGCAAGTAGGCAGCCATTTCCCTCACACACACACACACACACACACACACACACACACCATGCTCTCCATCCAGCCAACCTTCAAGTCTTTAAACCTTTGCCTAAGAAAAGGCAAGTGACCTAGTTTAGTATCTAGATATAATGATGCCTTCTCTGATTTCTTGGAACCCTTCCCTGACCAATGCAACTATTAATCTTACAGTTTTACTGAAATACATTAAGTCTGTAGGTTGAAAAAATAGTAAGCAAAGCCACCCTTTCATGGAAACATACCATGTATTCTAAATTCAGCATTTTTTCTGTTAGCATGCCATATTCTTCTCCGGTGCTTTTAATGTTCTTCCTCCCGGTATAATTAAAGTGGTAGAAAAGAATGCTAGTTTTTTTTTTCTGATATGAATGTGTGCAAAGAAGGAGAGAGTGTATTTGTAACAACTCTTTTCAATTTTAATTGTTTAAAAATATACTGAAAACTTTCAGTATTATCTCTGTTTTTTTCTCGACTTACCACAATAATAGTGGGAAACGTATGCCTAGATACAAGAGTACCTTAAATTTTAGTGCAGTACGTGTGTACTGTTTCAGTCTCCCACCTGAGTGTGCCGTCACTCTCTTGAACACCCTGCGTGGAAAAGAACAAGTCCCCGAAGACCTGGGGACCAGGTGGGGTTTCTCCACACACTGCACCCCTCCCTCTCCAGGATGGAGTCACTGTTTCCTTCCCGACTATCCTGGCATTGCCATATGTTGCAGCTTTGTGTTTAAGAGTTGCTCTAGAATGTAGAAATCTGTAGTGTTGCTCAATATGCTTATTGACTTGGGTCAGTGATGGTATAGTTGGACTATAAAAAATAATGTCATGACAACAAATTGATGACCAATTACTATATGCATCTGCTATATGTTAGTAAAATTTGAAAGTAGCTGTTTATCTTATTTAGATGATTGGGTACTCCTTTTATCTAAGCCAACCAAAAAAATAAAAACCGATTCACATTCTCAGAACTTAATAAATATCAGGCATTTCTAAAGTGAATTAATATATGATTTTCAAATATCTTCTGCTTTTTATTAGGTTGACTATAAATCATTGTTTTGGAATGAAATCTAGGCTTTGGTCTATGAGGAAATCAGGAGTAAGCGTGAGGCCAGAGTTGTCAGGAAATGTACTTAGGGTAGGTAAAGTATTATGAAGAGAAACATAAGAAAGGAAGTTCAGTAAATGGAAGGTTTGGAAAGGATATAGTGTGAGTATACTGTTAATGAATCTTTGAGATTTATCCAATATCCTAGAAAAAATGTTGAAGTGCTTCATTTAATTAGGATTTGGAGCGGGGTGGGGATGTTTTAGTCTGATTTTATTTTATATTCTACTTGGAATGGTAGAATTCCAAGCACTTGGACCTTCCAAAATATTTATCTGTTCATCAACAGCAAGCACATAGTAACTTCTTTGTGACTTAAGTGAACACTAATTTCAATTTAGAAAAAGAAGTGAAAGCCTGAGACTGGTAGCCAAACACAACAATGTTGGATATTTTTTTTAATATCCAGAGTGGGCTATTAGCTAAGGAGCCATTATTCAAAAGCTGCCTTTCCCTTGTATTTTTTAGAGCTGAAAAACAATGGAATTAGTCTGACCCATAACTCTTCGATCTCTTCTCTTCTTCAGTGGGATCGGAAGGAACTGGCCCTGGGCCTCAGGCGGCAGCAGCATCTTGGCCGAATTTGGAACTCTGCATTTGGAGTTTATGCACTTGAGCCACTTATCAGGAAACCCTATCTTCGCCGAAAAGGTGAGATTCTCTATTACGCCTTGCATTGCAAAGCGTTGCTTGTGAGAAACAATATCCTCTGCTGAGAGATTTGATAACATTGAATGTGGAAAAGAGCAACCAAGTTTAATACAGCTCTTTAAGGAGCTTTGGTACATGCACCATTTCAATAAACCGACCTAAACTAACGGTCTTTCCATGGTGCCACTCTAACTCAGTATGAGAGGGCGTGGCTTACACAACCGATTCTCTGAGCCTCAGGCAAGTCACCTGACCTCTATGAATATTTTTTTTATATCTAAACGTATATAGTATTGTATGGACTATATAAACCAAGTATGTGAAAGACTTTTTAAACTCAAGGTATTATATAAATGCAAAGTAGCTATTGAATCCATTTCTGATTTTCAAGAAACAAATTTTACAGATATTTGGATAAATTCATACTACCCTACCATGCTGCCCTTAGCTTTCAGCTCAATTCTTAGCTCCCCCTCATTGCAAAATTCCTTGGAAAAGTTGTCCCTGTTTGTTACTCTCCCTTTTTGTCTCCCACCTTCTTCAATGTTTTCCCAAATGGGCGTCTGTCTCGGCCACGCCTGTGACCAGTGAGCACCACATTGCCAGATCCGCTCATCATTCCCACCCCTCATCTTCTTTGTCCTCTCAGTGTTGGTCGCACTTGGTTTCTTCCCTCTGCCTGAGATGTTCCGCCCTGGGCACCAGGCACAGGGTCTTCCCCCGGCTTGTCTCCTTCCTTCTTGGGTGCCGCTTCTCAGTCTCCTCTCTGGGCTCCTCTTCATCACCCCAAAATCTAAATATTAGACAGCCCCAGAACTCCACCCTGGGTTTCTTCCTTTATGTTCACTCCCTACATTATTTCACCCATGGGTTTACATGCTATCTATATGCTGTTGATTCCAGACTGATTGTTCTGGTCCCAACCTGTCCCCTGAACTCCAGACTCCACATCCAAGTACCTGTGCAACATCTCACTAAGAGGTCCAACAGACAGGTCCCACTTAAAATATCTCAGACTGAAACCCCAGATCTGCTCCTACTCAGTATTCACTGTTTTGGTAACTGGCACTTTAGTTCACCCAGTGGCTCAGGCCAAAACCCTTGAGGTCACCCAGTTCCTCTCTCTCTGGTAACTCCAGGTCCTAAGGACTCTGTGCTGCCACCCTGTTACAAGGACCAATCATCTCCCACCTGGACTCGGCAGTTGCCGCTGACTCCCACTCCCTCTCTTACATGCTAGTCACACCAATTACAAACAAAGGTCTTTCATGGCTCCCCATCACACTCAGAGTAAAGTAAGGCCTCATGGCCTGCATCTCTCTCCCTTTGCTTCCTGTCTTCCAAACCCACTCTCTTCTCACAGCTTTTATACTTGCTCTTCCCTCTGTCCTAGTTACTTTTCCTCCAATTTCCTGCATCGCTTGCTCCTTTCATTTCCTAAAATTTCTGCCCAGACACTTGTCCATCAGCCTCCCTGGACCACCCTGAGCAGGATAGTGCAGCCTCACCACCTCACCAGACTTTCTGTCCTGGTACCACCTTGTGTCTTTTCCATCACATTTACCACCACATGTGATAGTACTTACATTGTGAATATTATGCTTTCTTCTGTTATCTCTGTCCTCCCACTGGAATGGACTTCATTTATCTACTGAAATATTTCTGGTTCCTTTTATGGCATCTGACATACGGTAGATCAGTGTGCCTGTGTTCACTTACTGCCTATTATTTTTGTAAGCCGGCAGCAACTGTCTTTGTTCTAATTCTGCATCATTTAAATCAACTTTTTTTTTCCCTAACATGGGGAACTATAATCAAGAAAGACAGAAGAATGGCACCAAAATTGCTTTTTGGATTTTAATAGCAACATTTTATTTCCTTTTGTAGGTAATGAATATTCGAACAGTACTGAACAACCTGGAAAAACCACAAGGCCTTTATCCTAACTACCTGAATCCCAGCAGTGGACAGTGGGGTCAATGTAAGTCAAAGGTTTAACATTGTTTTAGCTCTTTATGGTACCCAGCACTGTTCTCCTAACCAAGCGGAAAAGCAGAATGAAGCACAATCTTCTGGGAGAATGCTGAGAAAGGGAGAAAGAAAGCACAGTTCCTTTAATAAGAAGGTGTCTGTCATAAGAAAGACAGGCTGTAAGTGTTACCAGGAAACTAGAGTGTTTATTTTTCATGCATAACTGTGAGCGTGATGACATATAAGCACATTTAAAGCCATTAATCACAAGGGGAAGATCAAGTCAGGGTAGTGTGAGGATGTCAGCCTGAAATAGGCTGGTCATGTGCACAGGAGGGAAAATTGTTCCTTTGTTTTAATGACTATCATCAGAGTTGCAGACAGAGTAGCTAGATCATTCTACTTCATAACATTTTCTTTCTGCTTGACTACAAGATGAGAGAGGAGTCGGAATCTTTAAGGGTTGGGAAATTGAAAGAGCAAACAGGGTATTTTCCCTACTTAATTTTAAGCCCAGCAGATAAAGGTTTCTTGCCGGGAGAATTACTTCTAGGGCAGGAGAAAGTATTATGCCAGAAGCCCTCACTTGAGATCCTTACAGTGTCTGACCAGGGGTATAATGATGCAGAGGAATTGAAAGAAATGTTCTCAAACTGATTTGGAAAAAACAGCGGTAGATTAAGCAGCAACTGAGAGCAAGTGAAGAATACTAAGTGAGACGCCTAGCTGTGCCGACTGTGTCAGAATGCCTTGACGTTTTACTGTAATTTGAGTTTTTTCATTGTATTTTAATACTATATATTCTTAGATGGCTGTGCCTCATTGTTACTTTAGAAGTACTTTACTTAATAATTTAGTAGGAAAAAGCTGCTAAAAATCCATGTCTGTGGGTTAGTAATGGCGAGAGAAGGCCTAGCTATTGAGATTGTTAAACCATAATCAAGGTCATCGTTTAACAGGAGTGTGATCCACAGATCATTTGACACCCCTGAGACCTTTCAAGGGATCCTCAAGGTCAAAGCTGTTTTCATAATAACACTAAGACTCTCTGCCACTGTGTTGACATTTGCACTTACGTTGCAGAAGTGTTGGTGGGTTAAACTACTAAAGCCACAGCGCAAACCATGGCAGAGGCTCCAAATGGTACTAATAGTCACATTCTAAATATTCACGGCAGGCTGAAAGAGAGAGGGAGGGAGAGAGAGAAAGGGAGAGAGGAAGGAAAAGCCAATTTCTTAATGTTCTTAATGAAAATGTTCTTAATGAAGCAAAAATAAATTACTGATTCTAGAAAATCTCAGCCATTGAATATTCTTCTTTGTAATATTTTGTGTAGTTAAGTTGAAAGTATACTGACAACACTTCTGCATAATAAAAATAGTGGTCGCCTCATCGAAAGGCACATGTGTGATTGTATGACCGGTGAGCTGACCTGGTCACTGTTGCTTTGTGGTCCCCAGCTTCACGTGAAAGAACAACTGGAAACAGAATGCCTTTTCTGAGTTGGGTCATTAGTAGATGTGTTCTTGATAATGAGCCTGTCACTTCAAAGAAAACTGACAGTATCTGTGTCAGTGATGAAATTTGAACTTCTAAGTAAAAATTTGAATTTTGGAAAACTTGTATATGCCACCATGAATGAGCCCATTACCCTTAACCAACACTGAAAGACTGTTCTGATGAGATTGGTGGTGATATTAACAAATATGGCTTTTTGCTGCTGTCTAATAAAATGTGCTCAACGTTTAGAAGATCTGCATAATTCAGTGAGCAGTATTTTCCAAATGACCAATGCTTGCTTTTAGAAAATCATGTATGAGAAAAGGATCCATTCAAAGTACGAGATAGACCAGTGGCTTTAACTGCAATAGTACAAAAGTTCATCAATACGGTTTCTAACTCTGCATTACAATTAACTTTTTAAAAACTTTAACCTTCAGAAAAAACTAGTTGTCAGGTTTTGTTTTAGTATTAAAGCAAAATATCCATAATAATCTGAAAAGACTATTAAAATACCCTTCCCTTTTCCAGCTCTCTAACTGTGAGGCTGAATTTTCTTCATGTTTCAGCCAGGACAAGATATAGTGTGGGTTGAATGTAGAAGAGATAGGAAAACCCCCATTTTCTACTACAGGAAACGTTGAAGAGATTTACAAAAATGCAAAATAGCATCACTCTTCTCACTAATTATTTTTGTTTTGTAAAATACAATATATCTTAATGAAAATATTATATAAGGGGTATATTATTATTTTACATAAATTAATAAAAATATATTAAATTCTGTTTTAATTCCACTATGGTAAACATTGCTAATATTACATAAGCAGGTTTGGAGGGGTACTTATTCATTTTTAAAAGTGTATAAAGAGGGGCTAAATGATAGAAAGTTTGAGGACCACTAGAGTATTTGAGGTGAAACAGAACTTAAGCAGCTTTCTAAGGACAGGATGACTCAATACGACTCTCTAAAGAACAGGGTTTTTAGAGTTCTCCTTCTCATGAAAGATTCAAAAGTTTAAAACAAGTCTCTAGCTAGGATTTACAGTTTTCTTCCTATGATTAAGGACTTAGGAGTCACTGTGAAAAGGGACAGAAGAGTTGATTGTACTAGAACATCCTGGCTTCACCTTCTGGGTCACAAATATACTACGTATCTGGCCACGTTTCCTGGTACAAAGAGCCCTTTATATTTGGGTTGCTTATGGGTCGGTTTCCTGGTGGAAAACCTAAACAGAGTTCGTGAGTCCCAGGTCTCTCCTCTCCCAGCCCCATCCTGTGTTCTAGCCACAAGGAAGACACAGTTTTTATTCTTTACTCAAGGCCTGCGTGGCCGTGCTCAGATCTGGGCTTGTTCTGCTTCCTCAGCCCTTTCACCATCTGCCTCTAGCAAGGCCCAGCCCAACTGCCATTTCTTCTGGGAGGCCTTCTTCTTTAAGACCCAGTTTGGGATTTGTTAGCGCCCATTCCTCCTCTGCCCACCCCCTTCTCCCTCCCCATCCCAACACTTGGGCACTGTCCTGTCGCAGCCCTTTTCCTAACGATTTACACGCATAACCATCATCCCAGGGCTCAAAAACTTTCAAGGGCCGTGACTTTTTCTCAGTCGTTTCTGTTCACCCAATACATGACATCATGTACCTAGCAGGTGTTTACTTACTCGAAATCTGTGAACACTCATGTACTCTGTATCCAATCTGACTGTCTGCCTCTGCTTTGAACAGTTTGCCCTTGCCCCTCAGTTGTAGCTAAGAGACAGCACCTAGTCCTGGTCACTGATAATATAAAGAGCTCTCGTGGCTGTTGAGGCCATACATGAGGCTCCAGGTCAGTAGACAGAGTTATTATCATGCAGTGTGGCAGCATCATTGGGGGATGGCTTTGAAGAGGGAAGTTTAGATCCACATGAAGTCTACAAAATTAAAAATTGAAAATATTGAGTCTGTAATTTTTGTCTTAATTATTTTACTATTTGCTTTGTTTTTTCTCTTTTTGAGTATTAGGAATCTTCTATGGGACCTGTTTCTATTGGGAAGAAAAGAGTAAATCACCCTTTTCAGAAAGAATGTAATATTTGAGTGACTATAGTACACATTACCTTCAGGGCATTTGGGAATAAAAATAGTACATATGTTCTTTCTAGAAATAGGCAGCCCTTTCCTGCTGACAAAATCAGGCATGTTCTCTTCTACATCCACTAAGATATTTATTTACACAGGCCTCTGTTGCCAACACAAATAGTCATCCAGACACAGGGGAATCCTAGTGAGTGATTTGCTAAAACCTCAACAGGACTTTCTCTTGTTGCTCCTCTCTGTTCCTTAATTTGTATTCCTTCCAAATATGAAAATGTTATAGGTAGGAAATAAAGGACTAGAAAATTAACTACTGCCTACCAAAATTAATTAAAATAGCTGTATCAATATGTAATTCTTTCCCCTTTAAAAAAAATCACCAAATGCCCAGACTTGCTTCTTTCATTTCTTATAGATTCATAACCCAAAGAGGAAGAAAATGAAGCTGCTTCTGGCTGTTAGTTTTCAATTCTCATTGCTTTGACTCAGAAGGACTTGTCTGGATCATGGCCTCGTTTCCTATTACTTCACTTAGTCCTTATTATTCTGACAGGAACCACACAGTTGATTTGCTTCACCATGGATGTCTTGCATTTGCCCCCTGCAATCATGTTTATAACAATAGGGCTTATTACTGATGAGATAGGTCTCAGCCTGTTTAATTTTTAAATGTCAGAGGTTTCTGTGGTGATTTATTTAGGAAACTATAAAGGTTACTTCAAACATTTCTATTTTAAGAACCAGCTTGCCCTGGCTGGTGTAGCTCAGTGGATTGAGCGCAGGCTTGAGAATCAAAGGATCGTGGTTCTATTCCCAGTCAGGGCACATGCCTGGGTTGCAAGCCAGTTCCCAGCAGGGGATGCACAAGAGACAACCATACATTGATATTTCTCTCCCTCTCTCCTTCCCTTCCCCTCTAAAGATAAATAAATAAAATCTTTAAAAAAAAGAAATCTCATTTTAAAAAGAACCAGCTCTACAATTGTAAAAACACGAATTTTACATGAAAATTAAAACTATTATATAATTTTGGACTTTAATAATAAAATCACATATTTAATTACTTTAAAAAACAGCCCTTCTAGCTTGAATAGATGCAGTCCTTACTAAGACTGACTTAGAAGAATTTTGCTTTGTTCAGTGGTTTACTGAGTAGCTACTCAATGCAGTTTTCCAAAATAAGTGCACCTTTACTAAGGCTCAAGTTCTCTATGAATTCTAGGAAAGATATGTAAATAGATTACACTGTTCTCATAGGTAAATGTACTTGAAAAATAAAAGTATTAAATCAAGCCCATCTGAATATGAGACTCCATGTGGGTTGAATCAAATGGCAGTTACCAAGGTTGTAATCTCATTTAGAGTCTGTGGTCAGTTTTCTCACTTTTTAAAGATTTTATTTGTATTTTTTTATCCTCACCTGAGGACATTTTTTCAATTCTTCCAGAAAGAGAGTAAGGGAAAGAAAGAGAAATATCGATGAGAGAGAGAAGGATTGAGTATTTGCCTCCTGCATGACCCGGGACCAGGGATCAAACCTGCAACTTAGGCAGGTGCCCTCACCAGAACTCGAACCTACAACCTCTTGGTTATGGGGACAACGCTCCAACCAACTGAGCCTCACTGGGCAAGGCAGTGTTCTCACTTATAATGAGGATATCTACCCTACAGTTTGCAAGGTTGTTAGTAATGCATGGACTGGACCTGGCGTAATAAATGGCAGCAGAAGAGGAATGTTGAAATGGTGTGTAAGGAAGAGAAAGTTCTGCCCTATCTTCTGTCTTACATCCCTACCCAAGAATGTGAACCCTTCAGACTGATAACACCAGAAAACCCGTCTGCTAATAGTGGTCATGATAATGAGCCACAAGAAGCTGCAGAGCTTCTTGTGTTATTGCAAGCCACTCTTTAAAAGATTTGCTAATACTCATAACTTTGACATGTTTGTACTATTGAGAGCTAAAGCAATTAAAATTTTACTTGAATATATACTGTGAAATACTTTATTTTGGTATTTTTACTAGAGAACCTGATTTTGGGAATTAGCGTGGATTATATGTTTTTTATCTTCGTGCTTACAAAAGTACCCTGGTAATTATTTAGAATGTATCACATTACTTAATAGCATATCTGCTCATTTTAGAATGTCTTTCTGAAATCAGGAGATTTGCTGGAATTTAAATGTATCATTACGTTGCAGTTGACAATGGGGGTTTTGCATCCTAGCTTGCTAATGTGATTTGGCTGCATTATCTGAATTAAAGGCTGAATCACTCTAAAATGCATTTCCCTCTCTTGCAGATCACGTATCAGTGGGAGGACTCGGAGACAGCTTTTATGAATATCTGCTAAAGGCATGGTTAATGTCTGACAAGACAGATCTGGAAGCTAAGAAGATGTATTTTGATGCCGTTCAGGTAAACCCAATAGTTAAATCACCTTTGCCACTCAACTCTACTTGTAACTAACATAGTATTCAAGCTTTAGTGGAAAAAACACGGAATACTACATGAATGGGTTACAAGTTATTTCCAGTTAGGTAAAGGAAAATATCTGCTAATGTAACTATAATTATATTGGATGTATTTAGTTCTGAGAGGGCAGTTAAATTTTTTACATGCGTCAAACCTCAGTGAAGATTTACATGTCTGAAAAAAAAGGTTCACGTACCTGAAAAAAAGGCAGTTTTCTTCAGTGAGCATGATTCCTCTGCTTAGAGTCAATTAAAATTGGGGAGAGGGGAAAATCCTGAATTTACGTCCTGAAAATTGACTAAGTTAAAATTACCCAAGAGTATAGACAATCCTAATGCCTACCTTCATTGGAAGGAAACGTATCTCCCGAGCTGTAGGGACAGTACTCTCAAATAAAAATCCAAACTAACCAAACTGATGTTTGAGACAAGAGGACCAGTAGTTTTCAAAGGTCTAAACTGGAGGATGACAGCTAGTGGAGGGTGCGGGGAGGTGAGGGTGTGGAGGGATGGAGCAAAAAGGAAAAAGGACTCACGGACATGGACAACAGTGTGGTGATTGCTGGGGAATAGGGATATAAGAGGAGTAAATGGTAATAGGAAAATTACAATAAGGAGTAAATCAAAAAATAAAATAAAATAGAGGACCAATAAGAGGGAACAAATACTTGTTGAACTGCCTACTGCGTGCTAAATAGTGTGTTAGGTACATGCTTTCAGACATTAGTTCGTTTCCTCACAGCAGTTTAGATATTATTCGCCTTATATTGCAGGCAGTATTGCAGTTGTATTATAGATAAGACAACTGCACTTCACAGATTGAGTGTGAAACCAAAATTCACACTAAAATTTGTTGTCAACCCCTGCTCCTTTATTCCTCACCAATGTGGATTTACTTGCGAATATAATTTCCATACCAAATATTTCTTTATGGACAGTAAGTTAGCAAGATAAGTTAGAAACTAGTTAGAGAAGTCTATAGGAGGTAGTCAGTGTAAGAATAAATTAAGCCTCCTTCAAAAATGAAAATAAATTTTGAATGTAAATAAAATTTAAAAAGAATGTCATTTTATATAAAATACTTGAACTTGTACCCAACTTTTCACAGCAAATTTTGTAACAGAGTCAATTATCTTTATGATTAATTAAAGTAGTTTACATATACTATATTATTATCAGGGCATCTCAAATAATGTTGTAAAATTATGGCTAAGTCATCAGAAAATTGACCTTTTTATTGACTACTTTATTTTTATAATTGAGAGTAGTTTATAGAAGGAAAAAATGGAAATTTGGAATTCCGATAACAAAGTCATTATTCTAAAACTGGTCTCCCTAGAACAGGTCTGGCTGGTTTTGATGTGGGCTGATTTATCTACTCAAATAAAATGCAACTTGCTTTGCTCTGGTTGACCAGATTAAATGTCATCTCGGTCCCTTCTCACGGTTAATAGGGAGCTTCACCAATACAGCAGGTACAACTCCGCTATTTCACATATAGGAGCCAAAACACCTTAGTTAGAACATTGGCCTTCATTTAGCTCAGCCTTTATTAAGGAACATGATGAACGTCAAAAGTCTGCTGAGATATGGTCCACGTGGCCTTTCCCAAGTTTTTTTTTCTTTCATTTCTGTGAGGTTTAGGTTTTAACCTAGGGAGTTCTCCATACATACAGTATGGTTTCCATTACATCATTTTTAAATTACTGTCCTGGCAGACATTTTAATTATTCTGATCTTGGCCCTCTAAGACCTGATGTTCCAGGAAAAGCAACTTTAAAATATTCTTTGAAGTATTATTTTTTCCCTCAGTTTCTAGATCTATCAGAGGTATACCCACACAGCTTTTAACATATTGTATTTAGGCAAACCATTGACAGGAAAATCCATTAAGAACAATTGAAGTCAAAGTGTTTCCTGTTTCTCTTAATAGTAAAAACATCTTCAATACATTGTGTTTTTAACTTAGAAAGCAAGGCTAAAGCACTTAAACTTCTGATTGTGAGAAGTAGCCATGCCTTACATAGCAAAGATTCTTTGTCTAATAGTACTTATAGGGATCATTATCACCAAGGAGTGGACCCTTTACATTACTGTCCTGGACAGTTGAGTTACTGGAGATACATAGTTCATCAGTTTTAGCTTCAAGTGGATCTTAGAAAGTGTTTAATCCCAGAGTGGTATATTTTCTTTGACTGTTTCAATAATAAAATATCCTGAGCTTTCAATTGGCTGTCATGACCTTCTCTGGAGACCACACTAAACACCCACAGTGATGGATGCCCCACCCTGCCGGAGGTCCATTGGAGTGAATGGCCCCTGGGCAGGCGATGTACATATTGGATAATTAGGATTCTATAGGCTTCACCAAATTATTTTCTTTTCAAATATACAAGGATAAAATGACAAAATATATGGCTTTTCTTTCCTAATCAATTCTCTGTAGACTTGACACAACATGTTTTTAGAGCCATTAAAAGCCTGTTTTTCTTTCTCTATGTTTATTTACATTTTTTAGTTGCCATACAAACATTGCTCTAAAGGTCTTGGAACTTTGTTGTCTAATTTATTTTGAGAAGTAGCAATTTGGTCAGAATAATGCCAAAAATAATACAGTACTTTATGCAGTATCCAAACAGGATAATAATGTTTCTCTAATCCATGCTCAAAAGCTATTACTCTTGCTCTGTAGAAAGAATAATTTCTTGGGTGATGAACAGGTATCTGCCTAAAGGACTTTATTGCAATTTCTGCTATGAGAAGTATAAATAGCTAAGTTGTTCAGTTACATTAAATAAGAATGAAATATTAATATAATAACTAAATCATCAATAAAATTAGCTTAACTACAGTTAATGAGCACAGTAGTGTATTTATTTCTTACATCTTGGCTTCATTTGTTTACTTCTAATAAAGGTAGGGTGAGTTTTATCTGCCTGTGTATTCATTTTACACTTGATCTTAGCCAAAAGGCTGAGAAGCGATGTATTCATTTTAATTTATTCTTCTCTATCACAAGTTTTATCTGTGTCTACTGTCCCCAAATATCCTAAAATTCCTCTTTTCTGATGATAGTGTAATAGGTCTAGACTTTCTCATAGCTCTTGTCCTTCTATGAAGTAATTGGGGGAAGGGGGGTCATTTTCTATTGCAGTAATGGGAAATTAGTAATTCCAAACATTCTTCATTTTTGCTTTTTAAAATGTAAGGCTTATTTTATTTTCTCTATCTACTTTAAAGAATATCAGTGGTCCTGGGGCAGAAATAAAAGCTGTTTTATAAATAATTTTTATAAATATTAACATTTCTCCCAAATTTACAGATCCGTATTTTTTTATAAAAATATTTATTCATTGTATACTAATGTACTTTGTAATAGAATTATGAGGGCAGGACTTGATTCTAGTGTCACCAAACTAGAGATGTGAATGGTGTAATAAATGACCTCCATCGAGGGCTAGTCACATACCGACCACTTTATAAACAAAACGTTACAGGGTATTTTCTGAGCAGATACTTCTATTCCCATTTTATAAATAAGAATACTGAGATTTAGGGATATAGTAAGCAAATTACTCACAAAGTTCACAGATGGAGGAAAGTTTATCAAGGCTGGAATTTGAAGCCAAGCAATCTGGGTAAAGAACAGGTCCTTTCGCCGCTCTGGCTTATTATGCCTTGAAACCCAACAGAGCAAAAGGAAAGGGTAACACCACTGGCCTGGATGTCACACAGATATGCTCTGTTCTTCATCCACGGCAGGGCTTGTGCTTTGTGTCGCTTTCCCATTTCTGAAAATGGAAATGCACTAAACCAACTACCACGACTCCAGCAGTAACTGTCTTTGAGAAGGGGACAGCATTTTAGGTGGGTGGACTACAAGTGTTTGATCACGGAACTGAGCAAAAACGACCGCACTGGCCCCACAGGGTTCATTCTAAGTCACCAAACTAGTAAGGCACAGAGGAGAGGAAGAACAAAGAAAAGAAATAACATAAAGTTTGAGATTGAACTGGATTTGTAACACCAAATTCAAATGGTGAAGTTATGTTATTTTTTTAATGTTTGGGGGTGTTTTTAGTACAGATTTTAAAAGAGATGGCAAATGCTGGAAATAAGTGTTATTTTCAGGCGATCGAGACTCACCTGATCCGCAAGTCCAGTAGGGGACTGACGTACATCGCGGAGTGGAAGGGGGGCCTCCTAGAGCACAAGATGGGCCACCTGACCTGCTTTGCTGGCGGCATGTTCGCACTTGGGGCGGACGACGCTCCCGCAGACCTGACGCAGCACTACCTGCAGCTGGGTGCTGAGATCGCCCGCACCTGTCATGAATCTTACAACCGCACATGTGAGTACACGCTGTTCTTCATTTACACTCTATAGCCACGTGCTTTTATTTCACTCAGTAAGGAACTGTGTCGTTGCTGCCCTCAAAAAATATCCACATTACCAAATCATGATAAATATCTTAAAGGATTTTGTACTTTCATTTTAAAAGACACTGGTTTTCTACATAAAAATATTTACTTTTAGTTTGCCAGCAAACAGAAATCCAGGCCATAACACATGTAACACCAGTATAATTTTTTTCACCTCACTTCAGGTAGGTAACATTGGATAAGAGTTTCTGTCCCAGTGCAAATACACTCAGTGTATTTGTGTGTAAACCATTATTAATCTTCCCAGTGTCTCCATGAAACAGATTTTCAGTCTGGCTCCCTCCTTTTAAAATCGGGTTTGAAGCACAAACACGAAATAACCATTCATGATGTAATGACTTAAAATTTAGAATGACTGGTTTTCTAGCTTGTAAGGTATTTCATGGTGCCTTGTACCTCCCCAGTGGGTGCTCAGTAAATGGTGATTAAATAAAAGAAAACGAAGAATCATTACCATTTTCTCAAATGCCCTGTTTTAGATGACTGAGCTTGAAAGCATATTGAATATTATTTACTATCTAATGTTTATAACTATTCTTTGAAATGCCATTGATGTGGCATCATTCTTGAATGTCGTGCGGTACTGTCTTAGTTTAAGTTGTAGACACTGAGCATTCCCCAGAACAATAACCTCTGTCAACCGTTGCTTATTCTTTAGATGTGAAACTGGGACCAGAAGCCTTCCGATTTGATGGTGGTGTTGAGGCCATTGCTACCAGGCAGAATGAGAAATACTACATCCTACGGCCAGAGGTTGTTGAGACTTACATGTACATGTGGCGACTGACTCATGACCCAAAGTACAGGAAATGGGCCTGGGAGGCTGTAGAGGTGATGTTTTAATTTGCTTATGTTTCTTATAGATAAATGTCTCAGGAAAAAAAGTTCAGTAGTACCTATAAATTTAGCATACCAACTTTTCTATAATTTTTAAAGCTTTGACCAGACTTTTCTTTTCTCTCAAGACTGAGCGTGGTCAGTTAAGTCATCCTGTATCTCTGGCTTCAGCTTTGCTTAATACACACACACACACACACACACACTTTGATATTGAAGGAGATATCTAGAATGGCATATTATAAAATTAAGTTCCCACAACTGTAGAAGTGATGACCACTTAATTCCACAAAGGGCTGTAGGCAACTTGGGGATAGTCACCCCGGCCTGTTGTTGGTTTTAAGACACCACTATATACTTTTTTTTCTTTTAGTCTTTGGCCACTGAAATGATAATACAGTATATGCTTTTACTTAGGTTAAATTAGCCACTTAGTTTTTAAAAGAACCTGTAGAAAAACTACTTTCTGCAAGAATATTCCTTCACTAGTCTCAGGTTTCTCTGAATATCTGTAAGTATGCGCTTTTAATTCTTTGTCACCCCCGGGTCTGTTCCTGCCGAATGCGGTGTATCATCTTCTGAAGGTCATCAAGCGTGTGCCGGATGCCAGTGGAGGCGCCCTCCAGAGTGTGCACCAAACAATGTCTAATTTTAAGAGCTATTATTCGGAAAGGAGTGGGAGGAAATTCGAGGGATAAAAACAAGCAAACGCTTTAATTATACTCTCTACGTTCTAGCACTCTTTGTTAGAAAAGTTAGCTGTCTTTCAAAGCAGTCTATCAGGAGTAGCATCTCTCAGGAAATCTGAGATGAATATTGCCTTTGTGTAAAATGTAATATCTTAGGAAGCCGTTAATGAATCTCGCTTATTGCCTTGTTCATTTAGTGCATATTATCACTAGTCATCAGTCATTTTCAGTAATAGATTCTTTAGGCCTCTTTTTTTTAATTTTTTGTAAAGTTTTCTAATTACATTTAGTCAGTAGTAATTTCAACTTTAAATATTTTTTTCTCTGAAAAAATATTAAAATTACAGTTCATCAAAGCTCTGGTGATAGGGAATTATTTTGGTCTTCCATAGGCCAGCAAAGGAATTAAGGCCAGTACTCATCTTGCAAATATCAGTTTCAATTAAAAATAGCAAGAATAATATACTTCATCAAATCATAAATACCATAATTCATAAGAAACCCCATTATTTCATATATTATTAAGAAAGTGTAACACTACCAACTAAATTATGACATGACAATTTTAGAGATGTTAAAATGTGAAACATGTGTGACAATTGATCAAAAATGGAAACTAAATAAATCTCTATTGCCACAGCAGGGTGCCAAACTCATTTTCACCGGGGGCCACATCAGCCTCATGTTGCCTTCAAAGGGCCGAATGTAACTTTAGGACGGTATAAATGTAACTACTCTTTAACTAGGGGCAAGGAGCTCAGCACTGCCACTGGGTAGAAACAAGGTGGTGGACCTGATAAAACAAGGTGGAGGGCGGGATTTGGTCCGCGGGCCCGTGTGTTTGCCACCTGTGCTGTATGGGCAGGAAGCTTTGATTCTCTCAGTTCTTCAGGGGAGTTTGTTTGTGAAGCAGTAAGGTTGATTTGATGAGATGGCGATTCTGTTCGTTGCCATCTTTTAGTGTAGACTCAAGTGAAACTGTTTCACTGCGTTCCAGCACAGGGATCCCCCTGTTTTTGCAACTAGTAACTTCTAGGACTGAGAGGCAGCGGAAACGGAGAAGTGTGGGGCTAATGCCTTTTCTGAAGCTCACAGATCAGACTTGGAAGGTGTGGCAACACGCTTCTTGCCTTGCTGCGTCCCTTCAGCCAGTGTTTGTGCTGCAGCTGCTGCTGCTGCTGCTGCAGTGAGCGCTGCCCTCTCATGCTGGCCGCGTTTTCTCCAGGGCCAGTGCTCCTCAGCTGCTCTGACTCCGAGCTTGCTCCCCGGCAGCGATCAGTGGTCTGGGAAGTGGGGAGAGTTCCTGGTCCCAGGGGGCAGCCCTCAGCCGATGACATATGGGAGTTGAATGGATAACTCTCCCAGGCTTCCCTTGAAGAATAACTCTGCGATGTGTGCTGCACAGTTCCTCGGAGGGTTTCCAGCAGCAGTGAGCCCTTGTTGCACACGGCTCTGAGCCACTCAACATACTTCCCTGGCTCTTCTCCCTTCCCTGTTTCTCTCTCCTCACTTCCTGATGTCACCTTCCTCCCAAATTTCCTGCATCCAACCCTCGTCTCAAGCTCTATTTGTAGAACCCAAATTAAAACATGTAGGACCTTTAAAATCACCTAGTCCAGATTCCACTCAAAGAAAAGACTCCTCTACATATATCTGTGCTGAGTGGCTGTTCTTCATCAATTCAAGGACTTCGTAGCAAAAAGGAATGTGCTACTAATGTAATTCATGTCAGTTTTTAGTGGCCGAAAGCATTAGGAAGTTACTCCCTTTCAAACCAGAATTTACAGTGTTCTGTGCTCTAGAGCAGCTGAAAAACTAACCCCCCTCTCATACATTTCAGTTATCTGAAGACAGCATCTTCTGCTGACGGTTTCCTCCCTCATTCATCTGTTTCCGCCACCTTCTCAAGACATGGTTTCCAGCTGTGTTCTTCCAGGGCTGAGCGTGCGACTCAAGAACCTCTCTTCTGAGTGCTATTTCCCACAGCTTGTGGCCCAAGTTGTTCTTTTAGGAGATGGAGAAAGCCCCTGGCTTATATCCATGACCATAATGTTATAGTCAAATGATGTGAACTACTACATTAACTACTGTTGAGACATCTCTTTTGTCCCCCGCTTGTTTACACTCATACGTACAGTTTGTAAAGGATTGGTCAGCCATCTTCCCGTCTCCTGACAGTGCCTCCCTGCCCAGCCTTCTTTCAGTGATACGCTCGATGAACCTGCTCTCTGTGTCTTAACTACATTTCTTAACAGTGTCAAGCAAGATAGGAAGGGATATAATCCAGCGTACAACTCTGGAGGCCTCCTCCGCAGGTTACCAGCAAGCCATTAATCACAGGTGTTCAGGCACTTGGGAACTGACCTAGCAGAAAAATCACCTACCTGAATGGCTCTTTTGCTTTTGCTCAATAATGTCAGTAATAAATTTATTGAATTCCTCTCAATTAAACATGTATAATTAATATTCTGATAAAACGCATACTATAAATTATGTATATAGTCATATGTGGGTGTGTAAATATAGATCGTATAATGGTTACAAGTGTAGGTTAGGTATGTGTAGATTATATTACCAGACGGGGACTTGGCCGTGAGCAGGTCTGCCTAGGGCCAGCTGTAGTGAGTGGGTTCTTGACTTCGTATAGGAAACATTTCACAACATAAGTCCAGATGACTACGAGGATGTATTTATTAAAGCTGGGGACGGTGAAACAAGGCAGGGATCAGCCTAGAAGCAACAGGAGAGCCTAGTCTGGGCTGCCTTAGCTCCCCGGGAAGTCAGAGAAAAGAGGGCCTTGGGGACAGATTCAGGGGGTTAGCCCAGGACAAAGGGCCCAGCCGCCAGCTGCCTGTTGCCTTAGAGTTTAGGGGACATGTGCCTGTGGGGGAAGAAGAAGAACAAGGGAGTGGCTCGGGCTCTGGGGAGATGGCAGGCTGGGCCCTTTGTCTTGAGGCTTTTTTCTCTTTCTTGCCTTAGGGAATCTTAGGGGAGGGTTGCAGCAGAATTTGATCAGTTTTCCAGGTGTGTCCCTTTAGGGTCATTGTCTCCACTGATTGGTCAGAGGCAGGGATCATTAGTCGTTGCATCTGGTTGTTGCCCACCTGGTTTTGCTGCTTTTCTGGGCCTGGAGCTGAAATACAACTGAGGCCTAGATGTCGTCTCTAGAGAGGCGACCTTTTTATCTGGCTGTAAATTGCTCAGCCAGTTCGTTCTGCTCTCTGTCTCAGTTTTCCTATTCTGCTTGCCAAGGAATTTTCCTAGCTTCTTACTAACCTGTCTCATCTCCACTGGACCACAGTTGCAGATAAGCCTTACACTGGGAAGTTCATTTCTTTATTTGCACAGACATTTTTCTCTAGTGCCCTGAAGTTAACCTTTTCCATGTGGACATTCTGACTCTCGGGGAAAGTTTTGTCTTCCCAGGTCCTGCATCTTCCTCCCCAGAATTGATCCCTGTTTTCAGACCCTGATATGTTCATTTAGCTGGGTGCTCAGCACACACTCAACCAGTTTGCCTTGTTATGAGTGCTCTTCCATGGGATCCACTTTGGAAATCCTCACGGGTCAGCTCTTTATCTCACCCACTAGATAGACAGTGCTTTTCTGTCCTCACAGTGATGCTTTCTGACTTATGATTTAACTCGTGCTGCCCACTGTTCTTTGACCTTTCTTCCCCCACCCCAAAAATGTAGTCACTTGGAGTCACGTGTGTTTTGTCCTCTTTTGTTCAGAACTCCAGTCACTGGAATTAATCCTCCTATCCTTTTCTTCACTATTAGCACATCCCAGTCACACATAGTCACTTATAATAAGTAACAGAAGCGTTTACTAAAATCAGGGTGAGCTCCGTGCCCAGAGGCTGAGTCCCCAACACAGACTGTAGTGAAATGGTGCTCTGATCAGACTCTGCCATGGGTACATCCCTCCACTGTTGAGATTCTGTAAAACGAGGGCCTGCACCGGGGGCCTAGGAGAGCTGCTTTTCCCCAGCTTTACCTTCCTAAAGTCTTAAAATTTAGACTTGACATGAAGGTTTTTCATTTTCTGAAAATTTAAAATGCATCTTTAGCATTTTTCCTTTTGTTTTGTTTTGTTGTTAATTTACCAAGAGCCTGAAGAGAACAAAAGAAGCTAGGCCTCTCTCCACCTCTGACAGGCCCCAGTTCCGTGCAGACTGTGTCTTCACCTCGTTGTGTCGGGATGGCAAGCCCGTATCACTGCCTGGGTCCGGGAAGCGCTGAGGCCTCAGTCAGTACGTCTAGGCTGTGCTCTGAACTACTAGGGCTCACCCCATTAGGACTGTGGGAGGAAAAGCACAGTGGGTGAACTGAAAAGAGGAAACACTTCAGGCATTGCCAACCCCCCAAAGTAACTCTTTTTCTGTAACGAAAGAAGGAGCTTACAGAAATTTCTATGGGAGCAAGAGCGGCCTGGCACCCTCCTCGTTATCTCCAAAGAACTTCAAGAGAAAAACTAAGAAAAATTTTTGTAGTTAAATTATTTTTTAGGAAATGTCTAGAATAGGATTTCGTTATGTTCCATAATAATAAACTTGCCCATTTCTTCTAAATACTGATTTTTTTCTTTTCCTTTTTTTTACAAATAATTTTTAATCAATCCAATGTGTCTAGTATTCGATTTTTTATCAAAGGGAACTTGGATCAAAAAAGGAAAGAAGGAGAAAAACATTTGGATCTGAAAGTTCTTTCCTGTAGGCTTTTCCCTCCCTTGTCTCATTGTCTGCAACTCAGAATATAATCAAAGCTCTTTTTTTTTTAAGTTGATCTTATTTTCCCTGAGGCCTTTTAAAAAGTACCAAATCATGAGACATTTTCTTTATTCATGTAGCCTGCCAGTTAGATTTTCTTTAACCTGGTAATTAAATGCTTCACCTTGTGGCCCCGAGCTGTGCTCCTGCTGCCCTCTGGCCCTCGCGTGCAAAATCCATGCCCTCATTATCTGCCTCTGCGGACGGGAGCCGAGCACTCAGCTCTGTGTCCCTGCTCCCAGGAGTCGCCTTCTCTCTTGTCTGGCCTCTGCCTTCTTAGAGGCATGTTTTCCTCCAAAACTTTTTTCGAGCCAGTAAAGATTTTTCTGAACTAACACAGCAAGGTCTGTGTTCTCCCTCTTTGCAGTAGTTGGGCTAAATGGGACAATGCAATTATGCACATAAAAAGGGGGGCGGGGTTATGACTCATAAGAGTAAACTGAAAAATTTAAAATGACATGAGAACCTAAGAATAACTTTATCTTGTTAATGTTTTCTATATGTTTTTTTAAGATTTTATTTATTTATCTTTAGAGGGGAAGGGAAGGAGAGAGGGAGAGAAACATCAATGTGTGGTTGCTTCTTGTGCTTCCCCTACTGGGAACTGGCCTGCAACCCAGGCATGTGCCCTGACTGGGAATCAAACTGCAGTTGTTTGGTTCATAGGCCCGCATTCAATCCACTGAGCTACACCAGCCAGGTATATTTTCTTTATTTCACCATAAATATTAGGTTTTATAGTCTTGAAGTTTATTTTTTTGGTCCACATTCTGTGAATTAGAACCAGATTTCAGGTGAGGATTTTTATCTGGCTACATGGTTAATAGGATTAATAGGGTATGGTAAGTAGGAAATAACTTTTTCATGGACAACTAGGCCTGGTAACTGGCAAAACAGCCAATGTCATTTCAAAAGCAAAAAGCAGTCAGCTTAGTGGCAGCAGACAATGTAGAAGGCAAGTTGTTTTAGGTTGTCACCTAAAAATTTACTCCCACACTACCCAACCCATCTCTTTTTCCAAATACTTGTCACGGTCAGACAGCTACAAGGATGTAGAACCCTTTCACCGTAGATGGTCACCAGCGGATTCCTCCCATCTCCTTCCATCCCAGACTAAAGAAAAGGAAACCTATTTTAGAAATAAATACCAGCCACAGTTGTCTCACTGCTTTCCATTTTCTTGTATCTCTGACACCCGTATCACTAATTAGTGTCCCACCATCAATTTTTAAGCAATGAGACATTCTGATTATAGTAGCAGCTGGTTTTGGCCCAGCACACTTTTCCTGTACCAGTGGTTTTTAACCCCATTTGACATGAGTAATCTTCCCAGGCCAGGGGTCAGCAAATGTTTTCTCTGAGGGCTGGAGAGAATTAGGTTTGGGGGCCGTGCACAACTGCTCAGCTGTCATTGTAGCAGAGAAACAGCCACAGACAACATGTAAACAAACGAGCGTGGCTGTGAGTCAGTAATACTTTACCAAAATAGCAGATAGGATTAGCCTGTGGTGGATGGTTCGATGAACCCTGTTCTAGGTTATAGGGGGAAATGGTAAAAACTACTGAAAAATTACTGCAAAACTCAATATAGAAGTGTATCCAATTAGGCAAAAAGATATTTCACCCATATTTCCTTTAAGTTTTCATACTTTCTTTGCATTTACATTTTATAGTTAATTTCCACCTAAAACTGTTATAAACTATCAATTCAATTTGGATCCTTATTTTACTTGAACCTGACAATCTAATAATAAAAATTAATCACATTCGGTTGCCTGATCATGACCATTTTTCCCCTCTTCTTTGCATCTAGGCCCTGGAAAATCACTGCAGGGTAAACGGGGGCTATTCAGGCCTCAGGGATGTTTACCTGAAACATGACAGTTACGACGATGTGCAGCAGAGTTTCTTCTTAGCAGAGACACTAAAGTAAGTAAAAATTATTCTAAAAGCCTCGTACATGTTTTATCTTGAACACCTTCGAACACTGTCAAGTATGCCTGCCTCTGAATTGCCATTCCCCACGTGTGGCAACGATCCCGTGTTTGCTTTCGGTTGCTGTGTAAGTCTGATAACTTGAGACAGACTGCTCATCCACTAGGAGCAAAGCACAGGGCAGCTTTTGCGCTCTGCATCAGTAAGTGTGTTTCCCCAGGTTTCGCTATACTTGACTGTTGTCCATGGCTCCCCATCAGATGAACAGAGACGTTGAGGTGGTTTTGCTGTGTCCTTCTGGTTTCACTGCCTCATATACTCATGTTTCTCTCTCCAGATATTTATACCTAATATTTTCTGATGACGATCTACTTCCACTGGAACATTGGATCTTCAATACCGAGGCACATCTTCTCCCTATTCTCCGTACAAATAGAAAGGAAGTTGAAGTCAATGAAAAATAAAAAGACATTTTACATTTCACTCTGCTCCATTCCTGTCACTGCATACCTTAATACTTCCTTTTCTGGTATTCAGGCACATGATGAATTTTTATTACTAGGTCTATGATTATTCTGAGCTCTAAATTGTTTTGCAGTCTTTTTATGTTTATTATCATAGGCTTAGATGGACTCCAGTTCCTTATCATATCCTTTATTATCCAGCCAGTAGATCACAGATTTTTTTAATTTTATGTAATCTGTTATCTCTGGAGTTCATGAAGGTATGGTATCATTTTTATTAAATTGAATAGAATGGCATACCAGCGACCTCTTAATTACAATTTTGATTTGACTGCAAAACTTTATCCTCCTCCATGAGGAGATGTCTGCTTTAAGCTGTAATGTTTTGCCATGTTGCAAAAAGCCATACTAAATTAATATTAAAAAGCTTTTTTTCTTTTCCATCTCATGTTCATATGGTTTGTCTGTCCACCAGAGACAGACCGTACAACTGTGACAGCCTCCTTCCGCGGGTCTATCGTTATCCGATAGAACGTCTTCTAAAATACTTCAAGTACATGTTAATTCAAAATAGAATCATCCCAGAAGAATCATCTCATACTGACCACAGTGTATTTTTGTTGGCGAATTATACTAGTGTTTACGACTTTGTGAATTAGTTCTCAAACTTTGCTTTAAACATTTTCTGTCATTTCTGGGTCATGTGCTGGTTAATTTCTCCCATTCACCATCACACAGCAAAATGAGCTTGCAAGTTCTACAAATTTCTGCTCTTACTGAATTATCTTTTGTAAAGGGAAATAGTATCACTCTTGGTGTGTTAGCTTTCACTTTTTACTAACTACACGAAGAATTGGGTCTCGCCAAAGAGAGGGTGAAGATTTCACGTGGTTGTTAATTTGCATTTCATCATTAATTTTTTTTCTTGAAGTAAGCATTACATATGGATCAGATTTTTCAAAGGGCCCTTTCTCAAATGTAATGTTACTTCATTTCAGTTTATGAAAGCAGGATTTAAGTCTGAAAGAAGCTTTACCAATGTATCTATTCATGATTAATTGAGGAAAATGTAATAAACTTTTAGATCATATAAAAATTTATAGTCTCTTTTGTCTGGTTAAATTCAACATAGATCCCCCAGTTCAGAAGGAATATGTAGGAGTGGATGTTCCCAACCCCTTGCAGTCCTGTAGCAGATCAAAATAATTATCTGGCTCTTCAAAGCATTGTTTTGAGATATAAGTGGTTATCCCAAGAATAGATTTGATAGATTTGGTGATACCTTGTCTTTTTTTATATTGGATCATTTTATATATATATTTTAACCACCCACATATTCAACGTACAGCAGTCAAATAGATGAGTACAACCCCATGGACTAAGCTGAAGCATATGAAATTGCTGCATTTATAGTTTAAAAAGTATCCAATTTCAGCAACTTCATACGGTTCAACTTAATGTTTTTAAAACAATTATTTTCTGAGATCTCTACATACTTAATTGTTTTAGCTATTTCAGCTTTCAAAAGTGATTCAAAAGATTTCCTTTGTCTGAAAGGAACACCATGTGTGATCTGTTCTTGTATTGTACATTGCTATACAAAATATATGTCAAAGAATAAATTAATAAAATTAGTAAATGAGAAATATCCATTAATACATCATTATTGACATGCTAATGTGTTTTGAGGCCTCAAATAGCTTCCACTCATATCCTTGGCTCCCATTATGAAATGAATGGATAGTAAGAGTTCTTTCTTCTCAGGACTTAGAGGCAAAATGTAAAAGATTATTGCCAAAATGGGCCATATATATTTAGATTATAATTTTTATATAAATCTGCACGGACTAACCAATTTAAGTTCATTTCTTTGCTCTTAAATTTGACTTGAGAGAGCACAAATTTGATGTGTATTGCTGCAGCAGATAGGGTTTCAATACCAGGTTTATGTACCTGCCGCACTGTGATGTGTTCGGGTATAAATGGGCGAAAAGATCATACTGCCTGTTCTGCCTGTGGCAAGAAAAAAGTTTTCTTCAGTTCGAGAACTTAGATTTTTTTTTTCACAGAAGTCCCAAATATCAAATATGTAAACAAGATAAGAAGTTAATTTTATGGTGATGTAATTTAATTAGAGTTATATTTTTTGTTAATTATTTTAAACAACTGAAGTCCTTAGGTAGACACTGTCTTTCATTTATTTTCAGCAATTTCACCTAAAAGTTGAATAATTAAAATAGCACTTAGTTTTCTCTTTCTATATGTGTTTTTGGTTTACTTTGTGCAATTACTATTACACATATAAGTTCTATGGCAATGTATAGGAGTCGATGGTTGTCATAACCCCTCCATCTGTATTACCCATTCTTTACTATGACTGTTTTTGATTTGGCCATAAGTCCATTCTGCCATTTCCAACTTTCTATAAATCTTTAATGTTATGGGAAACATAATAGATTGACATGTAATTTTTAAAAGCTATATTTGTAAAATTTCTCTATTGTGAATAAAGCCTTTTAATATATCTCCTTATTTGTTATCTTTTCCTCTTGCAAGTAGGTTTTTACATATGTAGGGGTGAGTGGGCACAGTTGCAAATGAACATCTGAAATCCTAATAGTAATTCCATTCCACACCCAGAATAGCCTAACAAGGAAACATTTCCCATTAAAAACTTTAATCTGTAAATAATTTTGCATACACAGTCTTTGGGTAATCAAATAACTTTATTAAGATTCTAACATAATCGACACCAGCGCATGTAGGTTGGAGACTGGGAGTTGGTGTCTGAAATAGCACAAAGTATGATCCTTGTCCTTTACGGTTGAGGATATAAGACTCACCCTGCCCCCAAAACAAACGTGTTTAGTTATAATGAATGACAAGTTTAATTCTTCTGTTCAGGGAGCAGGTCGCTAGGATTTGAGTAGTCAAAGAGGCTTAGTAGAAAAGAGAGAACTTAAGCTACTGGAGGGCCTCCAATATTTTTTTTAAAGCCTAGGTTTTTCAAACTCATGTCTACTTATTAGAATGTTTTAGACATTTTGGTTTTTGTTCTCACTGCCTGGGACTGCCTTTCCTCAGGGTTTTTATAAACTCATTCCGCACTTCATTTGGGTGTCTGCTTCATCTGAGTATTGGCACTCACCAGAGTTGCTGTTTTGACAAATTCAGTATGGCATGTCCTATTACCCTTTGCCCCTTAGAACTTACTGTTATTTTCTGCCTCACATTTGTTAGATCACATATTAATTTCCTTATTTGTTTATTGTTGTTTAACCCTTTAGAATTTAAGCATCATGAGAACAGAAGTTACTTTATTTGGTATGCCCCTTCCCCCCATCTCCAGTGGCTAAGGCAGCATCTAGCACTTGGTGTAGCACACAGTGAATGTTTGGTGAACAGGTGAATGAAGGAATGAGATTCACAGGGTTTGCTACAGCTATTTGCACATTTTTAATAGGGTATACACTTTTTAAAATATTAAGTACCAGTGTCACGTAGCATGCTGTTGTTTAAAATAATTATAAGAGGGACAAATTTTTTTATTGCTGCTCATAGTCGTTTTAAGAAAACAGAGTAAGTTTGTGTTTGTAACTCAAATTAACTCTCAAAAAACATACTTTAAAAAAATCACATATATCATGTATGGCATTATGTAAAATACACCCCAAAAGAATGTGAGTCATAATTTCACCAGTATAGATTGTTTTCAGTGTTACTGTTTGAACAGCCCACTATTGTTTTCTGACTTCATCTCACAGTCCTTGTCTCATAAAAAGAAAACTTTCTACATCATCAAGCAAAAGAATTGGTTTTTCATTTAAAATAGAGCTACTCAAATGAGAACCTTCTGAATTCAATTATTTGAAACACAAATGATGTCGGTTATGTTTATTTTGTTGGTGACCAAATTATTAAAAAGTATTCTAAACATAGTTTTTATGTATACTAATCGTCAACCACTCACACAGAGTTGGCAGCTTAGCAATTGCTATACCCAATTTCTGATAATTATATGTAGATAATTTCTTTAAAAATTTTAAAAACAAAAATAAGTCATTTTTTATTTTATTTAAGCATAAAATTCATATATCTAATTGCCATTCCAGCTCCCTAGGTCATGGCTGAAATGTGAGAGTGGGAAAGGAATCATTTAATCTTGATTTAATGGCCCAAAGATTGATTTCTGTTTTTCCTTGCTTATTTCATCCACACTGGCCAACACATGAGTCATTATCTTCAAGAAGTATCTGCCAGGCATCAGATATGCATAGAAAGTATTAGAACTGCATAGGAGTCTAGACAGCATTTAGTCCAACTCTTATTTTAAAACATGAGAAAATGGGATTTTCCCAAGGTCGGGAACTGTTTCGTATCCTGGCTCTATACAGCCACACACAGAAATTTGCTAAAATCTATGGAAAAGAACAATATATGAGAGCATATGTTACATCCAACTACTCCAAGATAAAGTGTAAATTCAGAGTTCGTGCTTGGAAATTGATCCAAGGCCCTGTTTCTCAAAGTGTGAGCTACAGTTCACCTATATCAGAACCTCCCATAAGTCTTATTAAAGATGCAGATTCCAGAGCATACCCCAAATCTAACAAATCAAAACTGCAGTAGGACCCTGGAATACCAAAGTGGAGAAGTACAACTTTAAGGTACAGGGAGGTGGAAGTCCCAGGGTTACAGAAGAAACAATGAATTAATTAGCGAGTCATGACAAGCATATGCACATCTTTTCTGTATTTTTGTTTCTATTTCAAGGTTTAAGCACAACAGCAACTTGAAACATGATTTGGATCACTCAGGGATTATAGATTCATCCTTTCACAAAAGTATTTCTGAGCAATAAACCACATAACCTACATCTTTTAGAAACAGATTCACATTGGATTTTTAAAAATAATTCTTTCTCATTGTGCAAACTCAAAAGTATTAACTTCAATCACCACTGTTTTTATTCAATGACTGTCTCATTTGCTTTCTTCTCCCAATAGCTGCTTTTAAAGTCAGTGCTCATATTGTTTCCTCTGTTCTTGTTGAATTTCAGCATGATTGTCACTTGCACAGACAACACAAGAATTCCTCATTTGGCCATGTATCCTGTAAATATGTAAGATATTCTTGGAAATGACCTCTGAAAAACACCTTAATTTCTATCCCCTCTCCCCTGTGTTTTTGCATTCATTGCAATGATAATTGTCAAAATTTGTTGGCCCACCATTATTATTATAATCACTTTAAATCCACTTAAAACATGCCATTACTTACTGAATCAATTTAGGTAAATTTGTGTCACAGATCTATTTAATTCCCCAGTGCATGCAAATTACCATGCTTAGGAAGCAAGCAGTAATAGACACAGAGCTTTGTAACAAACTTTTCGCACACTGGGATGTTTTGGCCTTAGGCTATGAGAACATATTAATTCATAATTTTATGAGCAAGGCCTTAAAATGTACTACATTTCAAGTCATATTTTTCAAAATGACTGGCACCTGAGAGTCTTTTATTTGTTTTGTCTTATTTTATTCTGTTTTTGACTCTCTCAGAAGGAACAAATAAATGACTCTAATTCACAAAATTTGGGGGAACTTTGTTCTTGACTTTCTGACTCCAATAGAGTGGAAAGTAGAAACACAGCTTAGAATCATCTCCTAGGACCAGTATAGGAGACCAGCACATCAACTTCTCAAAACAGGCACCATGTCATGGACATGACCACTTGGTTTATTGTGACCTCTATTTAGTAAATAACAGAAGGAGAATAAACTAGGTCTCCCTCTGTGTGCAAAATATCGTCACCACTCTGCCACTCAATACAACACTTTAACCTTAGTGGTTAAATGAACCCTAGGTATGTTTCACTGCTATTCACACTTCTAGCTTGCTAGTACCAAATTGATAACTTCGTGACTTACATAGTCTTAGCCAGGAGCTGCAAAACTACTCACATTTTGAAAGCCACCATTATAGTAAATTAAATCCCTCTAGTTTTTTTATCCGGTACAGTGTATAAGGGGTGGGAAGTACAGGTGCATTTGGACCAATAGTATGCAGACTTCACAAGGAATCAGGACAAATGAGATCCAAACTTAGCTCTGTTACTAACTTCCTGTGTGATTTGGAAGAAGCACTCCAATCTTCATATCTCAGTATCCCTATCTGTAAATTGAGGAGAGCGATTAGTCCACAGAGAGCCACTAGGCTCTGCCCAGAACAGTGTCTGTTGTGAGATGCTGGAGCAGGAAACAGCATACACAACCCAGGAATTCCACACCCATGGACCAGAGACCACCACAACCAAATTACAAGACATAGAAACCTTTGTTTCCTCATCTATAAGGTGGGACGAATACTACCCACTTCCTGAGGATTTCAGTTGCCAACGTATATGAAAGTTCTTAGCTCTCTACCTGGCAGGATCACACATTGAATTCCAGTCCCTATTTCCAGCTCTTACATCCTATGAAAGAATCTTCTCTCCTCATTGGGAAGCTTCCAGGTAGTTTTGCTATGACAACACATTTGCTATTATTTTGCTTGCTGTTTCCAACTACCCTTGGGTTTTTGGATAAAGTCCTTCAATCAGACTGCTTCAAACACATGTTATTACTCATCTTCCAAGGTCAGAGTTTAGCACTTACTTCTGACATGAGAAGACAGAAATATTCAGCTCTTTCTTTACACTTGTATTGTGCACTAATTGAAGACCTTTTCACTTATTTTTTTAACTGAAGAACAGAAGTTTTCTCCTAGCATTCGTAGAAGAAATCAGAATCAACCTGCATCATTGTCACACTGATGAGAACACTATTATGAATTGTGTCAATGACCTATTGAAATAATCCTGTGAAAATGAAACGATGACTGCAAGGTAAGGACTCCTTTCACATTTCAGTTATATTTGCATTCCAGAGTAGCTTTAAAAAACAACCAAATCAAGTTTATGAACTGGGAAGGATGTGGAAATAATTTCTCAAACAGCCAGTTTTGCTTGCAAAATCAGTTCATATGTTTGAAAATCACTTGTAGAGACTGAAAACTAATCACATCCAAAGAAAAACACATAAAGTGATGTTGAGAGTCTATTTAACCTGTCCCCACCCACCCAACCCACACCCCACAAAAACCCTTAGTTCCTACAGCACTGGGGACACAAATTCTATGAGAGTAACACTTCCTTTCCTTGTGGTCCTCCTCCCGTGGGAGAATAAGACAGCTTCTGAAGAGGGACTTGCAGCTCTGCCCCCAGGTTCTGCATAAGCCTCGGGGTCCTCCTTTCCTCCCTGACATTCATTTTTTTGCACTCTGCCAGAAATGGCTCTCCTGTTGCCTTTTCCTCCTCTTCTTGGGAGATGCTTTCTCCTTTAAGTCTCAGTGTACCTATCTTCTGCTCTGTTCCCCCAATTTATTCTTGCTTCTGGGACTCCCAAGGATTTTGTGCAAACTCTTATTGACATGTGTTACACTATAGTGTCACTATTTCTTTTCACTCATTCATTCATTTTACAAA